GGAAACTGCACGCGTTCACGCCTGTAGCCGGTTTCCCCACGTCACCGTTACGCGGGGCGGGGGGGCGGGGTCGGGGGGGGGGGGGGGACACGAGTTACGTCCAGAAGTAATTCAAGAACGGTCTCACACCGTCGATGAGTATCCTCCTCCTCCTCCTCCTCCTCCTCCTCCTCCTCCTCCCCTGCTCTCCTCCTCCTGCCCCCCCCTCCTCCTCCTCCTCCTCCTACTCCTCCCCTCCTCCTCCTCCTCCTCCTCCTCCTCCTCCTCCTCCTCCTCCACCTCCTCACCTCCTACACAGCTCCTCCTCCCTCCTCCTCCCTCCTCTTCCTCCTTCTCCTCCTCTTCCTCCTCCGACCCCACGCCCGGCGACCACACCGTCGGCCCGTCTCACAAGGATGTGCGCGGCAGGGGTGCAGGGGCTTGGAACACGGGCCATCTCGAAGCTCTTCTCGGGCGGGCGCGGCCCACGAATGACCAGATCTCATGCCCGGGAACCACATCCGGGCACCAGGATCTGGGATCGACGTGGGCTCGTGGAGGCCCGGCGGCGGAGGACACTTTCCTCACCCGTGGCGCCCGAACTGCGCCGGCGGACCAGCCGCCCCAGCGGCCCTGCGACGACGGCGACGGCGACGACGACGAGCACGAAGACGACAAGAGCGCCACCGAGGAAAGGGACGACGACGTCACGTCGGCCGAGGATGACGAAGAGGCCCACGACGATAGAGAGCAGAAGATCCACCCCCATAATGATCACCCCGGCACGCGAAGCCCAAAAGGGGAATCGAACAGGCCAGGGCTGTTTAGTAAACGCCCAGGGCCGACCAGCAAACGCCAGTTATCGGATCCGGGCAGTTCTTCCTCCTCTTTTTGTTTTTTTTCCTCCTCTGAGATGAGGCCGACGACGATGCCGACGACGACGCAGACGACCGCCGACCTGCCACGCCAGCCCCCACTCGTCGGGCACGGCACGCGTGGGCGGTGGGACAGCCATGGTCCCCCCCTTAGGTGTGCAAAGCCAGAGCCATCATTTTGCAATTTTAGTCTGCGTGTTTTTTTCTATGTTCCGTCCGGTACATGTTTGTGTTTTTTTTGTGTGTGTGTTGTGTTGTGGAGAAGCGGAGAGAAAGGGAGTTCTCTGGTTCAACATACCAAGAAGAGGGCGAGGTCGATGAGTGATTTAAGGCTCTGACTTTGCACACGCACGCACGCACACCCGCCCGGTCGGTTGCGAGGTGCAGGATTGCGCGGCTGGCACCTCAGCAGTGCCGGGAGGGAGGGGGAGGGGGAGAGGACGAGGGCCAGGTCGGGCGGCCGCCCGTGGCAGAGGCGCGGGGGGGGGGGGCAGGGGAGGGAGGACGGGTTCGAAAGAGGAGGGGGGCAGGAGAAGAAAAAGCAGGAGGAGAAGAAGAAGAAGAGGAAGCAGGAAAAAAGCCAGGAGAAGAAGAGCAGGAGGAGGAGAGTTGGAGGAAGAGGAACTGGAGAAGGAGAAGCAGGAGGAGAGAAAGGAGGGGGGAGGGAAGGAGAACCATTACGAGTCAGCGAGGATGATGACGCTGGAGGAGGAAAAGGGAGGGGAGGGGAAGGGCAACGGGATGGCGAGGCGGAGTATAATAAGCAGCTGAAGCAAGATCAGTACATCAGGAAAACCTCGCTTTCGATCGATGAACACAGCAACAAAATTCGGGAACTGTGCTAGATCAGGTTTTGACTCACGTGTGACGGAGCGTCAACTGTATTCTCCCCCAGCAAAGAAGATGACGCTGACACAAGGGGGACGCAGGGCGAAGACGACGGAGAAGGAGAAGGGGGGAGGGAGGTAAATTGAACTCTCCAAAGAGGATGGTGATGAGTACAGCCAGGGTCTTGCCGTAGAGAGCCTCAAATAGGAACGAAGCCTCTTTCGGGTCACGTCTGCTCTTAGATTCACAAGGAGTGCCAGGGACTAACCGAAGAAGGGCCAAAGAACCGCCGAGTCCAACGTAGTAACTGAAAGATGAGGGGGAAGAACCAGGAGACCTCTCTCCCAAACCTGTAGTTGGCATACTCGCGAGTGATTGCTCGTATGCTTGACACCAGTACGAGCACGGTGCGAGCAAGCCTGTTCAGTGCCATCTCGTCCTTCTCCTCCTACCACTCCACAGAACGTCCTTCCAGCTCTTCTTCGGCAAACCGCTAAGAACCATTCGAGACTCTCTTGGATCGTCATGGGTGTGCGAAAGAGTTCCGCGAGTCGTTGCAACAAACACAAACAAAAAAAACTCTGCCTGAGCCACCCCATGCCGCTGGAGAAACTGCCCGCAAATCGCAGCTATCATACATCGACCACCATGAAGTGATCTTATGGCAACGAAGAAGCGCGATCTGCTTCAGATGCCAGCGCCATTTCCGCCTGCCTGTGACCTCGTACTTCTCCGATCCCCAATCCTTGACCGCAATTCGTCCTGCCCTGTCTGCTACGCGCCTCTCCTGGTCTTCCCCCTCTGCCTATTCCTTATCGTCCTCTTCGCCGGTCGCCGCCCCTGTCGACGCTGACGTCGCCGTCGCCGTCATCGCCATAGTCGTCGGCATCGCCGTCGTCATCGTAATCATCACTATCGTCCTCGTCTTCGAGATCGTCGTCGTCGCCGTCGCCGTCGTCGCCGTCGCCGTCGCCATCATCGTCGTCGTCGTCGTTATCGAGGGGGTAAGTCGTCGTCACCAGGTGATCGTCATCGCCGCCGCTGTCGTCGCCGTTGCTGCCATCATCAATCATCTTCTGTGCCCCTGTCGTCGACGCAGTCGCCGTCGACAGTGCGCCGCCGCCGCCGCCGTCGCCGTCGCCGCCGCCGCCGCTGCCGCCACTGTGGCGATCGTCACCATCGTAATCTCAGGTCGGGCATGTCCACCTACAGCCAGACTTGGAGCGACAAATGAAACACTGCTAAAAAACAATCCAGGAATGCTCAAAGATGGTTAAACAAAATCGTCCCCTCACTATCTTTTGACTGTTCTTTTGGAGGCCTGGAAATTGGCACCAACACCAACACAGGGGCTTGCCTCCACAGGGGGAAGATGATCCTCGATTTCGGTGTTGGTGGTAATCTTCCGGTCACCCTGGAAGCCAGAATATTACAACCATCATTCAGATCGGGCACTCCGCCGATATTGGTGTTGGTGTCAACCTCAATGCCTGCGATTTTTGAATATGCCCCCTGTAGAAGGGGGACGCGTAGGGGACCACATGCGAACCCTACCCCTACCCCCCACGATTTCTGAGGGGGAGGGTGGGGTAGGGTTCGCATGTGGCCCCCTAACGCGCCCAACACATTCGTAGCCCCGCTGCTGGCACCGCTCTTTCTGCTCAGGGCGGCCAGCGTCGGCGCCGCGCTCGCGCGCGGCCGCCGCGCCGCCGACGCTGCGCGAGCCCGGGCTGCCCGTGCCGAACAGCCGGCCGTGCCAGAGCTCGGGGGCGTCCAGCACGCAAAACCTCTGCACGGAGGGCCCACGACGCGCACGTTTCAACAGCGTAAGCGGTGAGGAGCAGCAAGAGAAGGAGGGGGAGGGGGGACAGGAATACGGATGAGAAGGAGGGAAGAGGCAGATGGAGGAGGGCGAAAGGATGAGGTGCGGGATCTGGAACAAGTAGAAGGGAGGAGGAGCACGAGGGGGAAGGCAAAAGAAACATCACGTTGGGGAAGCGTGCCACTGATCTCTCCGCTCGCAGCCTAAATGCCCCCTGAACCTCTGGTTTCTCCAGATCACCTGGTCGCTGTTCCTGTCGATTGGCACCAGAGGGCTGCAGCGCACCAAGCGCCACATGAACAGAACGAAGCCCTGCCCGGCACCATACCGCGTGATCGCCTCGATGCCGTACCTGTTGGCGGCGAGCCCGGGGGGAAGTAAGGAATGGCGGGCCTTCTCTGAAGGCTCAGGGAAGTTTTCTGAGCCTCCCTCGAAGGCATGGGGAACTTATCAGAGGGCACGAGGGCTTCTGAGAAACCCCGCCGCCTTCTGGGAACGCCTTCTCCTTTTCACTGTCCCCCCTCGCGAACCGACGAAGACGTAAGACTCGGGTAAGTTTGAAAAAAGGGTTGGGAGGCACAGCCAACCGCTTCGCCTAAGGCAAACCCCGTATCCAACTCTGTTGTACCGTAGTAGCGATAGAACAAGAAGTGGGATATCGTCGCGGGAAACACGGGCCATGTCAAGCGATTCGTTTTCGGTCTCAATGGCAAATGGCGCGCCTCGCGATGAGGCGCAGTCATACCTTGGCGGCCGGCCGATTGAGTACAAACGGCCGCGGGCAAACGCTCGCCATCTCTCGCTCTTGCCCGCGTTCCCTTTAGAGTCGGGGGGGGGAAGAAGCGTGAGTCCGCCGCCCGCAATACAGTAAACACTTTATACACAAAGATGGCAGCAACAGGCGGGTTCAAAAGGAAAGTTGACCTGCACGCAAGCGCCCTTGCACGCAAGTTGCTTTGCGAACAAATCGCCCTGCAAGCGAAAATGTCTCAGGCGGCTTCAGACGATATTGCCTGGCCAGCCCGGTACGGAGCATGACGTGTTAAGTCGTGCTTGAAGGATTGCGTTCCTCCCATGACCTGTGAGAGCACATATCTGTCGATGCTCACTTTGGCGTGCCCGTCCGCAGCCATGTCGCGAGTGTCACACCGCTGTATACTATGCACGATACCTCACTCCATCATCTGACATATCCAACTAATGTGCCTCAAAAGAGCACACTCGGTCGGTTTCTTCAGGTCTGATTCCGCATCTATGGTCAGGGTGGCCATAATGCTCAGGCCGCCCATCTCCAGTATAGTGGGTCTCAACGGCCCTGCGTGGAGTTCGTGCAGGTTTACGATCGTGGGACAGCAGTCCTCCAAGTTGCGGGTTGCTGC